GGTCAGGTGAGACCCCAAACCCCCCCCAAAAATGGTCCCTTTCCCTCCCCCCCCACCCCCTCCCTCATCATTGCTGGGGCTCCCAGGGGTGACTTCTAGGGGGGGCATCGCCCCCCTAGAGGGTTCAGGGCGTTGAACCCTGGTCCTGAGGTCATCTCAGGGCACCGAACTCTGGTCCCGGGGTCACTCTGGGGCACTGACCCCTGGTTCTGAGGTCACCCTGGGACATTGACCCCTGGTCCTGGGGTCACCTCAGGGCACCAAACTCTGGTCCCAGGGTCACCCTGAGACACTGACCCCCTGGTTCTGGGGTTACCTCGAGTCACTGACCCCTGTTCCTGGAGTCACTCTGGGATGTTGACCCCCTAGTCCCAGGGTCACTTTGGGGTATGGTCCCTGGTTCCAGGGTCACCTCAGGACACTGCCCCTGGTCCCGAGATCACTCCAAGACACTGAACCCTGACCCTGGGGTCACTTCAGGGTGTTGACCCTGGTCCTGGGGTCACCTTGGGTTGCTGACCCCTGGTCCTGGGGTCCCTTTGAGGCTTTGAACCCTGGTCCTGAGGTAATTTCAGGACGTTGCCCCCATTCTGGGGTCACCTCAGGACACCGACCCTAGAGGGTCACTCTAGGGTGCTGACCCCTGTCCCCGGGGGTCACTCGAGGTCGTTGACCCCCCTACCTGCCCATAGTTCCAGGCCCTCTCGACGATCTGGTCCTCGGTGCCATAGAAGATCCTCCCGGTCTCGTTAAGAACGTACTCGTTAAGGTCGCTTGTCTTCTCCATGTGGGTCTGGTCATCTGAAGGGGGGGACACACTGAAATAAGCCCCAGAAACTCCCCCCCAAACCATCCAAAAACTCCCCTCAGGAAGGGCCCGAGGAACCTTGAAACCGCCACTTCCCTCCCCAGGGAGCCCTGAAACCCACATTTTAACCCCCAAGGGAGCCCCAAAACCACAGTTTCCCTTCACGGGGAATCGTGAAACCACCCCTTCTCTCCCCAGCCAGGCCCAAATTGCCCAAAACCTGTTGTTTCTGCCCCAAATCCGCCCCCCACAGCCCCCTTACCGGGACACCAGGGGTTGAAGAGCAGGAAGAAGTCGTTGGTGCTGTCAAAAGGGGCCGCATATTCCCCTGCCCCTGTCCGGGTCTTGATGCTGATCTGGTACCGACCAATGGGAGCATCGGGCGGGGCTTTGAGGCGGAGCTGGAGGGCGTGGCTCCCGGGAGGCTCCACCCCTTCCTCCTTGTCATCTTCCTCCGCTGTCCAACCGGTGGCCGAGGTCTCACCCAATGGGATGAGGATGTGGGTGCCCTTGGCTACCTGGGGGGTGGGGCCTGGGGGGGAGGAGTTGTGACGTCATTACCAGGGGTGTGACATCACCCCATCCCCTGTGACATCATTAGAGGTTGAAGGTCACCCCCACGCCCTGTGGGGCGGGGCGGGTCCCCCCACCGGGGTGTGGCAGCCCTGGTGACGTCATCACCCCCACCCTGGTGACGTCACCACCCCCTCCCTGGTGCCTCACAACAATTACTCCCCTCCCCCCCAATTTACC